GTTATTTACTTGTTTGTTTTATTTTTGCCCTCTTTTTTTTGTTTTACCTATTTTCTGGAATCGTTCATCATTGGACTCGAATATCCTGTTGTCACAGTCAACTACTCACTGCATCTCAGATCCCCCGACATGCATCGCAAACTACAGGGCACACTGGTAACAGCAGATAAGCCGTCCACATGGAGGTAAGAGGTCAGCTACCTTTGGTGGTGTCATACCGCCCCTTAGCGTTCGTTCATCTGGCTACATAATTCGCGATCTCCAGAAATGTATATGGGAGTATGTTGTCACAGAGCCTGTGTTGTTTATTTTTATTGTAATGTGCTGTTTTGCTATAAACAAATCTTACAGGCATTTTTTTTTATAACAAATGAACCAATTTACTAAATGAATTGGATGTGCTTTGCATGAAATAGACAAAACATAAATAAATAATAATAATTGTCACTTTCGTCCGCAACACTAAATCACTCCCCGCCCCACTTTTCATTTGCCTTTGCGACACCCCCTCTCCCTCTTCACTTTTAAACGTGACACTACAACCCCCTTTCTCCACTATCATCCGCTAAAAGGTGGCATAAACACAGTGAGAGCGGCTCGATCGTCATTTGCACCACTTAAGCTGGCACCAGTACTGCTTAAACCCCTACTCTTTTTCAAGGACATCCTGGGATTTTTAACAACCACAGAGAATCAGGACCTCGGTTTAATGTCTCATTTAAAAGACGGTGCTCACTGAGCAGTATAGAGTCCCCTTCACTTTACTGGGATGTTAGGACCCACACAGACTGTAGGTTGAGTGCCCCCTGCTGGTCTCACTAACACCACTTTCGGCAGCAACCTAGCTTTTCTATGTAGTCTCCCATCCAGGTACTGACTGGGCGTAGCCCTGATTACCATGTAAGAGTTACAGAGAGCTAGCTGCTGGTAATTAAATAAACAAAATCAGCATAGCAACCTAAAAATAACCACAACCATTAGTGTGAAACCAAAAACATCCAAATCAGATGACAACGTAGGATGAGTTTGAATAGAAGTCTGCGAGAATCAACCAATAGGTGAGCTCTTTGTGTGTGTGTGTGTGTTTTCTTTTTCTGCATGGGTCAGCAGCAAGAAACAGCAGCAATGAGAAAAAACAGTCTATTGACCTATAAATATTTGGCGATACATAATTATGGCTTGGAACGATCAACCACCATTTTTGCGAATGCCTATAAAATGTGATAAATAGCTGCATAAGCAAATTGCAGGAAAGAGTCATTGAAAGAGCGATGGAAATTTGATGACCACCATTAAAAATATGTTTTACAGACCACACTCTGTTAACATTCTCATGCCATATTTGTTTGCCAAAATCTGCATTCACAACACTTCACCACGTTTGTAGTCTATAATAACGCTTGCATGAAATATCAAAAGCTTTATTGGATCTGTGTAATTTAGAGCCCTGCTCAATGCCACTTACGTTTGCCTACGGTTGTTTAGACAGGCAGATTAAAATGAATGTTGGGTAAAATCTTCTAGGCAGAGCGGTGAATGTGCCGATTCCTCCTTTGACATTTTATCCGTATATCTTGACATTTTGAGAGGTGTGAAGTTTCCCGCTGTTTTCATCAAGTGTGCGGTCAGTGCCGGGCCATTTCTCAATTCCTCATGGACTTTTTCATCCTTGCAGGATTCAGACTTTGATTTAAACAGAAGGCAGATTTTTGAGAGTCCTTTTTTTTTCGTGTTGATTTACATTTTCCGTGCAATGAAAGTAAACTAATACTTATACTTTAATTTTTTCATAATCCCCTGAAAATATATTTCCTATATATAATCGTGTAATAATTAGGCATATTGCAATATTCAATATACATAAACATATTGCACAATACATTGATATGACCTCAAGACTTTATGGTGTTCACATCATTCCTTAAAAAAATAAAATAAAAAATGAAGTTAACAACATTTTAGCTGATTGTATAGTCAGAGAGCTCAGCTTTAGAAATTGGATACAGATTTAATTTTCACATTTTTAATTTGAAAGTTGTCCAAATAAGTTCTGTTTTAAAGCTGCAGTGTGCAGTCCACTTTATATAAAATTGACTTTGAAAATTTGAAGTCATTTGCAGTTTATATTCATGTTTAAGTTAGTAAATTTAACATTTTTATTTGAATTTATGTAAATATTCTTAAAAACTAAACTTTTTGTTACATTTAAGTTGTTTATCTCTAATATTATGCTGTTGTATAATCATTATATAGTCTGTGGCATTAAATGGTGATGTATAATATCTCCTATCGCAATACTTTGTGTGACAGTATAACCTACAACAGACATTATTTATCATGACAGGCCTACTAATCGTATAAAAAATAATTTTCTATGCATTTTTAAAGAACCTACAAAGTATATCAATTATTTTTTTAGTGATTATTAATTTTTATTAAATTCTTAGACAGATTATTTAGTAAAATACAGAATAAAACACTGAAAAGAACCAACATTTCATCCTGTTAAAAAACCCACCCCAGGATGCTCCCTAGTATGCCATTAAGGTCATTAAAATCCTGACTTGGCTAACATAGATACACTAAAAGTCTCCATCTTTATATAATAAGAAGAAAATTGAAATGAGGTACAACAACAAAAGGGAAATAAAAAAGAAACATCAATAGCATATCCCTTTATATTGTCCCTATCAGTATATTTCTCATACATTTATTACTGTTCTATTCTTAAAACAAATTAAGTACTTGGAGCATTTCTTATTAAATAGGTTTTGCTTATCTAATTGCATGTAAGACATTTTTTCGAAAGCAGCCAGTTCTGCTACTCATTCTTGAAAGGAAGAGGCATGTTCTGATTTCCAGCTCTTAAGAAATATTTGTGTGTCAATCAATAAGCTGGGTTTTTATCTACTATTTCATTATCTATCCATCCACCTATACAAACAATCTAGTGCATGGTGAAATATGAAAATCTAAAAACAAACAGATGTAATCTTGAATTGTTTTTTAGATTTCAGTTTTCTAAGTTGAAAAATCATACACTGTTATATGCTTGATGCTGATGGGTTGATGGAAGTATATCATGTGCATTTTTATTTATTTGTTACAGAAATGCACAGCTAAAATAGACCTAAGCAGATCTTGACCACATAGCAATTCTATTTCAATGCGCCAAATTCTTTCCATTATTATTTTAAAGTAGCGCTGGACACTAATTACATTCAAAATAAAAAGTTTTTGACATAAGATATGTGTTTAAATGTCAGCCTCTCCATGAAAAAAACTACACCAAAATAGAGATACCATTTTTACATTTTGTGTGTAAGCAAGTATGTTAAAGTAATTTAAAAATACTCAAAAATGTCTCTGTTATTGTTTTCAAACTGTGATATTTGATTTACCAAAGTCACACAAGTGGCAATTTCACATCTGTCACATCCATAATGAAGCTTTTCCCTCATAAATGCAAAAATGTTTAATAAAATGCTGTTTAATTCACAGAATTTCTACAAAGTATGTTGTAGACTGTAAACTCGCAAACTTTTTTGTCACATCAAAAACACTTGTTTATTTCCCTCATTTAAAAAATAAAACATGCTTACAGATTTTTTTTTTTTTCCGACCCCATAACTCTAGTCAGTTGTTTTAAAAAAAAAAACGTTGTTTCAATATAATGTTAACATATACAGTTGAAGTCAGAATTATTAGCCCCCCTGAATTATTAGACCGCTCGTTTATTTTTTTCCCAATTTCTGTTTAACGTAGAGCAGATTTTTTTCAACACATTTCTAAACATAAGTTTTAATAACTAATTTTTAATAATTGATTTATTTTATTTTTACCATGATGACAGTAAGTCATATTTTACAAGATATTTTACAAGACACTTCTATACAGCTTAAAGTGACATTTAAAGGTTAAACTAGGTTAATTAGGTTAACTAGGCAGGTTAGGGTAATTAGGTAAGTTATTCTATAATGATGGTTTGTTCTGTAGATTATCGATAAAAAATATAGCTTAAAGGGGATAATAATTTTGTCCCTAAAATAGTGTTTAAAAATTAAAAAACGTTTTTGTTCTAGCCAAAATAAAACAAATAAGACTTTCCCTAGAGGAAAAAATATCATCAGACATGCTGTGAAAATTTGCTCAAAAATTCATAATAAACATACACGGTACACACACACACACAAACACACACACACACACATACATCACGTCAATATGGACTTTAATTTAGGATCTTTTAATCTTTGCCCAGCACTATTTTAAAGGTATTTATGATCTATAACAGTGAAATAGTCAAGATACACATCAACCAAACAAAAATTAATGCAACATCTCAATATGTGATTTTGTTTTCTCAATATTTTAACAAAAAAAAATTATTCAGAATTTAAATGTTATTTGTCACGATTGTAACTTCATAGTCTCCAAATCTGCCCTTTTTTTCCTTTCTGAGAATTGTGGCTTTTACAGCTTATAATTCCACTTTATGTCATTTAGCTTAAATTCTAAATCTATTTAAATGTCTTATTTTATAAATGATGATAAAAGACAACAGCAGGATGCGAACAAGCTCCTCAATTTCACAAACATTTAATTTCATGTCCTAAATTGAATCAACTCATTTCGTGACACTGTACCATTACGATAACGTTTCTGCCAAGTGCTTGGCAGATGCATTTCAAAATATTGCACGTTTGGAGAGCTCCTGCGATGGCAAAATATGGGACAGTGCTGTCTGGGAAATTGGAAATGACAAAGAGGGTTAAAACAGAGGTTAATTGCAGAAACCAACGATTTACTATCCAACAAAATTATTAAATCCATACCAACGCCAAGCCCTAAAAGTCCCCTTTGGGTCCCTTCCTCACAACAATTCCTGGAAAATAAGGCAAATGTAATGGACTAAACTGATATTGGGTCTAAAAATGAGATGAAGTATATATTTTACAGATGGCTGATGACAACTAAAACCTTTTTTTTTGCGCTCTTAGAAAGAGGAATGAGATCTCAAGGGAGGATATGTTTGGTGAATTATAAAGGCTCCTCTAACATGTCATCTCCTCACTGGCTGCCGACCAGGCAAAGCCAACTGGAAGCAACAGATAAGAGGCCAGAAATATGTCAGAAGGATTTCCACCGAGAGAAAGGAGAGCGAGCGTGAAAAAAATGGAGCGAGGGAGAGAAGAACAGAGAGATATGAAGGAGTAAAGAGGTGCAGTTAGAGTTTGAGGGAGTCAAACAGGCAGGACACAAAGGTAAAATCAATGTCCCCTTTAAGCCATAATCGATAGTCTTCACTGCGTAAAACACAAGAAGGAGAAAAGGAAATCAGTGCTTTAGTGTTCGCCATTCATTACCAATCAGTCTCACACACGCACATACAAACACAGCACCCTCTGCCAATATTGGCACGCTTGGTAAATATGAGGAAAGAAGGCTGTGAATAACATGTCTTTTATTGTTTAATCAAAATAATTACCAGAAATGATCTAACACAACACTATTTTTACCAAAAACGGAATATATTCTGGATTCATAGTCATGTACAACCTGGAAAAGTCCTAAAATTTTGACATGACATTTTCCAGACCTGGATAAACAGAAAAAAACACACAAAGTTTTGGAAAAGTCATGGAAATTAGTTTAACAATTACTTTATTTGTATACTTGAATATAGGTTAGTTGTCTTTACTTGTTTTCTGACATGCTCTCACATTTAGGGTTGTCACAATACTAGAATTCGACACCAATCGGTTTTGCAATTTTTAAAACTTCCATTTCCCGCGAACATTTGAGCGCATGCTTAAACATCGCTGATTTTCCATTGTGTTTACCCCTATGACTGTGATGGTCAGCGGTGAAGGTCATCGGTTCTCCGAACTCACCGCTGTTTACTGAGTGTAACCACAGATACAGGGTTACTGGAGCCTTTCAAAGTCATTTCAATCAGCTGGTTTGTCAATAAGCTGACATACGAGTGATCCGCTGGTGAATCACAGCTTTAAACCGCTCCAGTGTCCCAGTATCTGTGGTTGCATGGCACGCAGTAAACATCGGTGAGTTCGGTTAATCGATGACCTTCATGGCCAATAGTCATTTCTGTTAAGCATGTGAACACAGTGGCAAATCTGTGGTGTTTAAGAGCATGTTCAACAGCGCTCAAATGTTAGTGGGAATGGACCTTTTTAAAATTTCAGTATCGTTTAGTAATGAATTCCAGTATCGTGACAACTCGACTCACGTTATTAGTGCCATGTAAGCATTATCTAAATAAATTTGAAATAGATATAAAATACATTTAAACTAAATCTATTTTTGCGCGCTGTAATACATTTGAACCTGCATTGTTTTTCTTATTATTTACCATGTTTGCGTAGACATTAGGTAATGAAAATTAACTTAAAAGTCCTGGAAAATCACCGAATTTTAGGAGTAAACATTTATGAATATGTCTGTTAAAGGGATAGTTCAACCAAACAATTCAAATTGTGTCATCATTTTCTCTCAATTCGTCTGGGCTAGCATTTTGTCGCTACATTTACATTTAGTCATTTAGCAGACGCTTTTATCCAAAGCGACATAAATGAGGACAAGGAAACAATTTACACAACTATAAGAGCAACAATTAATAAGTACTATAGGTAAGTTTCAGGTCTGTAAAGTCTAAGAAGGAAAGTATTAGTATTTTTTTTTTTTTTTTTTTGAGTACAGTTAGTGTGATATCCAGAGAGGCAATTGCAGATTAGAAAGTGAAGTGGAGACTAAATAGTTGAGTTTTTAGTCGTTTCTTGAAAGTAGCGAGTGACTCTGCTGTTCTGATGCAGTTAGGGAGTTCATTCCACCAACTGGGCAGATTGAACGCGAGCGTTCGGGAAAGTGATTTCTTCCCTCTTTGGGATGGAACCACGAGGCGACGTTCATTCACAGAACGTAAGTTTCTGGAGGGCACATAGATCTGCAGAAGTGAGAGCAGATAGGAAGGAGCAAAGCCAGAAGTCACTTTGTAAGCAAACATCAGAGCTTTGAATTTGATGCGAGCAGCAACTGGCAGCCAGTGCAAACGGATGAGTAGTGGAGTGACATGTGCTCTTTTAGGTTCATTAAAGACCACTCGTGCTGCTGTGTTCTGGAGCAGCTGAATGGGCTTGAAAGAGTTAGCTGGAACCCCCGCTAGCAGAGAGTTGCAGTTGTCCAGTTTGACGCCACTTTGTTTACACTGCAAGATGGATCAGCGACAGGGGGTTTCACACTGCGTGACTTTACAATAGGGAGAAGGATCGCTGACAACTTTGTCCAAACTATGTCTCACAACCAAACACAGGTAGTATATATTTTGTTATTAACTACATAATGAGAAAGAAGCCTTTAGAAAATGCACATATTTGCTCACCTGGGTTTGAAGGGAATTAGCAATTTCTCCTCAACTTTTTTCTTTTTTAACCTGATTGTGATATTGCTCAAATGACACGTCAAACAGTGTGCTCCTGTCAAACTTCCACTAGATTTTCCTCCATTTCTTGGGTCCAAATAAACTGAAAATGAGCCGTTTTAACTTCTCCCCCAACCTCCCGCTGGCCTGCAGGTACACACACACACACACACACACGCACGATTGAATGCTGCTTTGTCATTGGCTGTAGGTGATCGCCGATGTTATTTTCAGTCAAAACTCATTTCACAAGGCTTGGTTTGAATCGCCAACAGCTCCAGATATTTAGCACGCCAAATATCTCACTCACATCGGCGACTCATCTGTGATTTTCTCAGATCGCGTTTTTGATTGTTCACATTGTGTGATTGTCACTCACGTGCATGAGCACAGATTTGCCTGTGATTTCAGCCATTTGTCTGCGATTTCTCAAAACCTGTCGGCGAGTCAAAATCGGGGCTAAAATCATGCAGTCTGAACTCGGCATAAAGCACAGCTACTCTCTGAAAAAAATCCACGTAAGCCATCGTGTAGACAGAAGCCCCACCCATGACACAAATTAAGCGAGTGTGACCCGTGAGTGACCCGAGTAAACCCTAAAACGTTCATGCGCCTCTTTAAATAGCGTGATTTATTTACACATGCTGTTAGAGTTGCCTTGTTTATTATTGGTTACTAGGTTACCAATACTACAATCAGCCCCTTTAATAACATGACCGAAGCACATCTAATTCGCATATAGGTCTTATTTTCTTTTCTTTTTTTTTTTTTGCTTCATGTTAGGATGGAAATCTAGCTATTGTCACAGCAAGTTGTTTCTATAACGCTTTGCTAATGCACATTTTGAAGGACTGTGTGGGAAACAAGTCATGGAAACGCCTAATTTCCAATGTAAATATCTTTTATTTTGTGAATTTTTACGCTCACTTGAGGTGGTTTTGGACTTGTGTAAATGTGAATAATGAAAGGTGGAAATGCATTTGCTGCCTCTATTATAATTGCCTTGTTTGCTGTTGGTTGCTAGGATACCAATGCTACGAACATCCACTCTATTTTATTTTATTTTATGCAAATGTTGAAAAAAAACTGATTCATGTTAAAACAAAAAACAATCTCCAAGAATCACGGTTGGATAATTAGTTAGATAATAATTGGTTTGTTCTTTATGGTCAAGCGTCTTCAATTTTAAATTAAATTTAAATAAAAATATTATTTGTTTATTTACTTCTCTAATATTTCAAGCAAAATTTTCACAGCCTTCTTTTTTTTTTTACCAAGGGTGGCAATATTATTGGAGGGCACAGTATACAGTATATGCTCATCCATGCCGTTATTTATAACCGCCACAATGTACGACGGAGACTGTGTGGTGGATTTCTGGTTTACCTCCTTCCGCAACCTCAGATGGAGACCGAATCTGTTTGGGTTTTTGGTGACACGGAGGGCCCTTTGAAGATCAAATGCTTTCAGAGGGAGTATCGGGCCCCTCGGTCGAGCGTAATTAAAACTCGGGTGAGATAGACATGCGGCCTAGCGATAATGAGACGAGGCTGCTTCTCTGCTAATCCTGCCTAATTATGTTTAGCCATAAGGTCGGCCTTCACAAACAAACACGCGTTGTCCTCTAGAAGATCACATGCCAGAGGTTTGCTGAGCGCAGGATCGAAGGTGAATCTTATTGTTCGGCTATTACAAGATTCAGTCATGTACATCCTGACCTCCAAGATTTTCCAAAAATGGAGTATGTGAGAGCCGATATGTAAATTTAACAAGTTTATATATATATATATATATATATAAAATCAGTGAGATTTTTGAATTGTAATATTTGTGACTTCATATTTGTGAGTTCTAACATTAATTTGTCAATGAGCAGTAAATTTCTCTGTCACAAACAGCCTGTGTCCCATACAAATATGAAACAAACAGCTTTAGCGTTTCCCACAAAATAAATAAATAAATTCCTTTGAATGATTTAATTTCTGGCTTTCCTGGTAAATGTTATCCAGCATATTTATCGCCGCTTACCATGAAATCAAGTGGAAATGAGTCGAGCGTTTACAGTGAATGCAGGCCAATCAGAAATCCCATTCAGAATAAGCCCTATCCCCACAATCAGTGACATTTAAAGACGGCAAACAGCACGTCCGTACAAATGTCAATAGTTTAATTTTTTTTTACCGTGCCGCTGAAATGCGTTTAGGAGGTTATGGTGAACTTGCCAAGCCTCATTTGCAAAATTGCATGATGGGTAGATAGAAGGTCTGTGCACACAAACGCACACACAAACAAACAGTTTTATCTTGCCGAAAGCTCTAGTGAGGTAATTAACTTACATAATGACTAGTCAGAGTTTCATTTTCACTGTGGTAATTCATGTTCTGTTCTGGAAGGAAGGAAAATGCTTCAACAAATACATTATATTAAAACAAACAAATAAATAAATGAACATGTCAAAGTTATGATTGTTTTTCTAACATATGGTAGGTTTAAATCTCACGCTTGTAATTTTATGAAGTATAAAATTATACTTCCCCCTCTATTAACCCCCTTCTGTCTATAATATCGGAATATAGAGGCCTATTAAAAAATTCTGCTTGTTCAAATTGTTCAAAATAAGCTGAAACAACCCAATTTGTGAGTTTTTTGGGAGTACTTTATTGGTTTAAGTTAATTCCACTTAATCCTGAGTAGTTAACTTAATAGATTTGTGTGGAGCCAGCATGGATGAGTGTTGTGTATCCTTGCACTTTTTTTTTTTCTCAATTCAAGTTCGCAGTTCATCCTTACACTGTTCATGGCACAGTCAGCCATCCTGTCATATTTATTTAGAATGACCTATTTTAACTATTACAATTTTATGTTAAATATTTATGTACATATATGGCATGTGTTTTATATCTTTGAAATCTAAACATATGATTCGCTTATATGGCATCACAGGATTAGCTGGTGATTTCACATTTGGCTCAGTTGATTGGCTAGCACCTGCATTTAATTCAATTGACCTCCCACTGCCACCCCTGGACTGTAGAAAATGGTCCACACTTTATTTTGATTGTCTGTTTGTTGAATTGAAGTTATACTGCATCTGCATGCCAACTCATTCTCATTAGATTATAAGTAGACTGTTAGGTTGGGGTTAGGGTTAGTGTAAGTTGACATATACTTGCAAAGTGCATATAGTTCTTATAGTCAGTTAAATGTCTGTTGAAGGAGCAGTATCAGCAGATATTAAGCAGACAGTCTACTATTACTCAAATAGCCCATAAAAATAAAGTGTTACCTAAAAATGTAGTTCCCTTTTAAAGTTTGACTTGTCTTTTTATTGGGAATTTAATGCAAATGTTCAAATGAACAATGTTTTGTTTGATTTCTGCTGAAGTTGAGGAGAAATTGAACAGACATTCGCTCTGCTTGCAGTGTTTTAGTTATGTGTGTCAAAAAAGTGAGTGATTAAATGCATAAATACATTGCTTGACAAACTCTTAAGTGATTAATAACACCTCACTTCTGTTATTTAGTGTTATTTGTACCGCATACTAGACCACAGACATGGTAAAATTGCAAAATCTTATGCATGTCTCCTGTCATTTCAATCATGCAAAAGCCCTTCTCTAGTGCCATATCTGGTCTGTATTTTATTTTTTTTTGTTGTGCATGCACACCTGCGAACACTACCAGTTATGTTCACCACTGCCTATTAACTGTTATAACATTAAAAAAAAAAATTCTTAACTTTCTAGTTACAGAGACATTTCCTTTCTCTGCAAATTCCAATTGTACCTTCTGAAATTCTGCCTTAGGTTTCTAAAAAAAAAAAAAAAAAAAACA